TTTTAAGGAGATAAACAAGCAATTTCATTAATCCAGAATAGATTGGCTTTACCAGCGGATTTGGAACTCAAGTAATATTGGTAGATACTTTCTTAGACTCAAAAACAAAGGAAACATCGAGAATGCCTATCAGATATATAATTCAAGTGAAGTTTTACATAAGATGCTAAAGTACAGAGGAACATTGACACAGACTCTATATTTTCTCTTCAAAGGATATGATGATATCTTATACGTATATGATCCAATAAGGATAATGCTTAAAAGCCTTTTCTTATTCAATAAATTTTTCAATAACTCTCTATATGTGTGAAAGAAAGATAATAAGTATGCATGTAGATAAAAACTGAGAGGATGAAGTAGGAACCATAGTATAAGCAGATGATGTAGTAATAATTGCCAATTAAGAAGTGATCGAAGCACGCACGAAAATCTTGATTAACAAGGCATTAGTACAAAGATCAAAACTTAATCTCAACAAAACAATATGTCGAGCAAAAAAGGTAAACTCACTCAGGAAATAAATAACTTGGAATAAATCAAAGTTAAGCAAGGCCAAATAATTTTATATTTAAATTTTAATAGATTCATCACAAACACTATAATTGATTTTTTTAAATTAAAGATTTAGTAAATGTAGAATAATTTAATATTAAAAAATACAATAACTTTTATTTGAAGGTGTAAGTGATACTGAGAAACCTCGATTTCAGTCAAAGCCTATTGCTCTGGGGTAAGAAAATTTTTACCGAGAGGACAAAAGAGATTTTAAAGAAACGCACTGAAGAAGTGATGGCAAATGGGATTATGGGGATGGTGGTAAACATTTAGATCCGGTGACTTCTTAGAGACACTTAAAAAGCTTGGAATCTATATATTGTGATAATGTATGTAGTGAACTGAAGTGAGGGAAGAATGAGAACACATGCAACTGGTCCAAAGGTTCAAATGCCTAATTGCTACAAACTGATGTTGACTGTATCATAAAATTTATAGTAAACATTCAGGTTGTGAGGATGAAAGGCATAATAAGATGAAGATCGGATTTGCACTGAGAGATCAGGTCTGACGAAGGAAAGAGATTAAGATGAGTTTAATAACTGAACTCTAATGTAGAATCAGGATTGAAATTAAAGATAGGTTCAGCGTATCAATCAAATCTCGACTGTATTTTCTCATATTATTTCAAAGTGGTTAAGTTAGGATGATAGGTTGAAGGCTATGCCACGGCACAAGGCACATAATTTCGGTATGGACTCATAGGGTTCAAAATCATTTATCCTAGAAATATGAAGAACTATGCAATGA